CCCTTCGGAAAAGTGCTTTTTTAATTTGTTGCGTTGTTTTTCCGGTGTTCCAGTACTAGCTGACGATGGAGGGCTAAAACCGTGAGAGTAAAAAAAAATCTTGAGGATAATGATTGGGTCTGGCTTTCTTTTTCCAGCTGATTCAGGGACCGAGTCAGTTTTCTACATTTTTGGCCTCGAAGAGGCGAATTTGGCACTTTTGTTGGCGCAAAGGAATTTTTCTTCACCACCAAGCTTCGCTGCTCTTCTTTGAACTAAATGGGATCGAGAGAAATATGTGTTCAAAATTGTCAGGTTGTGACAGTTAAGTAGTTGGAAGGAGGGTGCTGGAGATCCCTTCGATTTATGACTACTGCTGCTGCTGTGCGGGGTGCTGATTCGGGAATTTTGTGGGATTCTTTGGTATTCACAATAGCGCGATGAACTGGTAGTGTATGATTGGTCAATAAACCGAGTTTTAAAATAGCTGCGAAAAGTGGACACATCGTTCAGGTGATGGGTCAGCGGGTGATAATTTCGAGAACGAATTACCGCTGCTTGAGGAGCTCGGCATCAATTTCAGCCATATCAGGCAGAAGACTATTGCTGTTTTGAATCCGGTTGGCTCTGTAACGCCTGATGTAAGTGTACATTTCTTTTATTACTTAGCTCTTCTTTCTCTGATCAATCATTTCGGAGCCGAAAATATACGTATTTTTCTTCGCTTGCTTTTAATAAAATTCGGCGGCCATAATTTACGTTTGAGGCTGACTGCACAGCAGTGAGTTTAAAGACGAGTGGATTGTTTTTAGTTAGTTGGAGGCGGTGTTGAATGGCTATTTGCAGGCGATTGCTGATCAGGATTTGGCGGGTCCGCTTGTATTTTGTCTTCTTTTTGGAGCTGCTCTTTTGCTGCATGGAAAAGTAAGAATTTTCGAAACACACATTTGTACCTGAGGGCTCGATTTGGTATTAAGTGTTATTTGTTCTTTTCCTTTTTTATGCATTATGCAGTACACAAAACGCATATTGTCACGGGGTTATCTGTGTGTGTGTATGTGTCCAAGATTTTGTCCCGCACTTTCAACTCGGGAACCACAAAAGCTGGGCGACTGAGATTTTAATAGAGTATTTCTCGCCAACGTTTAACCCCGCAAATCTAAATTCAGCCTTCCCGTACCGACGGGTAATAAGTATGGTCCCTTAAAAGTTTTGGTTGAGAGAATTATTATGCCACGGCAGCTAGAGGCTGAAATTTTACGTACGATCCAGAAAAATTTTGGGAAAATGTTTTTGCTTGTGCAGATACTTCACAAACTCAAATTTAACCCTCAATTATGCAGAGACTTTACGTAAAACCAAGTGAGGATTCTGAGGCGAAAGTCACTGGGTCGGAAGCCGGAAAACTGTTAGGCTGAGATTTGAAAAGATGTTCTGTAGCTGTGTTTTCAAATTCAGCTTTCATGTAGCGGTACATGAAATTTTTAGTGAGAATTCCCTCACCGCAAGAGCCAGACAGCATATCGACTATTTTTCCACACACGAAAGTGTAAAATAGATATATTTTTAGCAGGCAAACGTCCGCTGAACGGAACTGCGCAAAACGCGTGATCGCACTGGCTGTCCTGGTGCGCGCCGCTATTTATTAAGAAACATGACTCAGCTGCTGTGAGAATTGCTGACTGAGCGTAGGGATTTCGATTTCGCGTCAAAATCCTGAACAAATTAGACAGAATTGCGAGTATTTTGTAATGGAAGTGAATGGGAGGGGAGGGGAAAGGGGAGCTTCTCTTCCTTTTTGTTGAAAGTAGTGCAATTTTCGGTGCACGGTTGAAAGGTGCAGTTGAAGGAAGTAATTTTCCGGTCTTGAAGTTTTCTTCAGTCTTGTAAAACCGAATAAGATGCAGGAAGAAGGTGGGATGAGGGGCGCAAGCGCCGGTCGGAGTGAGATGGATGAGGAAGGAGTGGTAGAAGTAGTGAGGGGAAGAGGCGGAGTACAGAGGACTGACATTGCTGTGCCATTTCTAAGCGCTTTCCGGATTCTTTAGTTCTGGGGTGCTGTGGAAAATGGAGAGGCGTTTTAAATGTTACTAAAAGGAGGGGAGTGTTTCTTTAAGGTTCAATTTGGATACATCTATGGAATCGGTGCACTGGGATGCGTCGGTATGTATGCTCTGCTGAATTTGATGGCTGCTGATAATACAATCTCTTTCACGTGTACTGCCAGCGTCCTTGGCTATTGTCTCCTGCCGATGGCTCTTCTAAGTCTTATCGCTGCTGTGCTTTCATTTCAGGTTTGATCTCATTTTCTTATTATGCGTTTTGTGCTGTTTAACAGCAGTACAAAACGT